TTCGCTTCCCAGCTTATGGCTGCCTCTGCTGCTTAGCCAAAGGCCTTAGCCTAAGCACAGGGCCACAAACTGTCACAGTAAGAGAAGGCCCTTACACCGGCAGACAGTGATTTTGATTCTTTCTTTTGTAGCTTTATAACTAGCCAAGTGATAAGAATACACCTAAATTCTTAGAGTATAGGCCTTTACAGACAGGCCTGAATATCTATATCCTAACATACGGAAGCTCACTTCTACCTTTAAATCCCTACCAAATAAAAAAAGACATACCCCAAGACCCTACCCCAAGCAGCAGGAGATTACCAGCAGGAGAGTGAGTTTGTGTGTGTATGGGGGTGGGGGGGATGTGAGAAAACCTGGATTTGTGCAGGAAATAGCCCGACTTGATTATGTAAAGAGTTGTCACTTTGGATGGGCTAGCACCAGCAGGAGAGTGAATTTGTGTGGGAGGGTGGAGGGTGAGAAAACCTGGATTTGTGCTGGAAATGGCCCACCTGATGATCACTTTAGATAAGCTATTACCAGCAGGACAGTGGGGTGGGAGGAGGTATTGTTTCATATTCTCTGTGTATATATAAAGTCTGCTGCAGTTTCCACAGTATGCATCCGATGAAGTGAGCTGTAGCTCTCGAAAGCTCATGCTCAAATAAATTGGTTAGTCTCTAAGGTGCCACAAGTACTCATTTTCTTTTTGCGAATACAGACTAACACGGCTGTTACTCTGACACCTCTCATACTAAGAGTGGTCTGTGGAAGGGGTCTGCACCCCACAGGTTTATAGAGTATGTTTTCTATAGCCAGTGCTTTATAATGATAAAGAGGAAGGTCAGACCTATTGTTTCTAAAGGTGACAAGATAAGTGGCCAGTCTAAATCTTATGGGAAAGAATTTCAGTGATAGAGGTCTCCATGAGAGGGTCACACCTGCGCTCCAGCAGTTCCATTGGATCCCAGCCCATCTCTTGCTCATTCAGGCTACATTTGTTTTGGCATCTTTGCCTATACATGCCAGAACAGATGTGCACCTCTGGATCAGTGCAGCTAATGAAGCCCACGTGAAGGGCAGAAGGCCAGATTTGTCAGAGCACCAGAACTTGAATCTCCTCCTGAAGTCACTATGACCTAAAGGTGCCCAGCACCTATGGAAATCAGTTCCAGAGCGTTCTGGTCAAGGAGTTTTGAAATGAGCATCTACAGAAGATTACACTGAGGCCTGACCTACACTTAAGAGTTTTGCCGCTAAGTTATTTAGAAGTGGGTGGGGAATCACACCCTAACCAACATAACTGTGCTGGGAAATGCCCGACTGTGGACTCAGAGTGATAAAAGACAGGAGACAATATCTGTATCTATCTGTCAAATGATCATGGCTGTAGTGATTCCAGAGTTAAGAGAGATGACAAAAGTCCCAATCCAGATCAGGACTCTTTTATGCTAGGCACTTTACAAGCACACAGAAAGAGCCAATCCATGCTCCGAACACATCACAGACTCACTCTCTGTTAACTTCCCTAGGTTTTTAGTTTAATTTCTCTAGAATCTTATTTGATATCTAGTTTTGAACAAAAAATCTATTGGCTTCATTCCTGTATTTCCCCATCCCCAAAAGACTTAATCATCCTTACTTAAGAAGGAAAATTCAGGTCATGTAGTCCCCTTCCCCAGCCCCAATCATTGAGGTTGATTTTCCTCTCACACTGACTTCTAGATGGTAAGTTCTTTGGGGGCAAGAACTGTCTATTTGTTCTGTGGGAGACAAGGCGGGGGAGGTGATATATTTTATTGGCCCAACCTCTGTAGGTGAGAAAGACATGCTTTTGCGCCTACACAATCTGAAGAAGAGCTCTGTATAAGTTCCAAAGCTCTCTCACTACAACAAGTTGGTCCAGTCAAAGATATTACTTCACCCACCTTGTCTCTAATATTCTGGGACCAACACTGCACAGCAACTCTATTTGTTCTGGGTTCACCATACCTAGCACTGGTCATGAGCTGGGCTACTAGAGCTATGATGATGATGAGTACTATTACTACTAACAATAATACTAAATGAAGAGCTAATAATTTAGCACAGTGTAAATGAGATCATAATATGGCCCAAAGGCCTTTTGTTTGTTTGTTTTACAATATGTTTCATAGCCACCTTTTCTTTTGCAACACTGTAATCTAAATATACATGTAAACAATTTTCCAGTATATCAGTGTGGCAAGATAACTTTGGCTCATCTGTTGTAACTTGATTGAGCCCATTGTATAGGTTCAAACAGCTCTTGAGATTGCATAAACTAGAAGAATGTTTTGTAGGCACTTAAAAAAGAAATGTTATTAGTTTAAGATACACAAGGAAAATTATCCCTGCAGAAAGGAGGTGAGATGCATGTTCCTGCCTGGTTTTGAACCAGGGACCTTTTGCGTGTTAGGCAGACGTGATAACCACTACACTACAGAAACCCATCCACTTTGTTTTTTTATCCCTTTGTGGTCTAACCTTTGTTAATGAAATTGGTGCAGTTTAATATTTATTGGTTTCAGAGTAGCAGCCGTGTTAGTCTGTATCCGCAAAAAGAAAAGGAGGACTTGTGGCACCTTAGAGACTAACCAATTTATTTGAGCATAAGCTTTCGGGAGCTACAGCTCACTTCATCGGATGCAATATTTATGTGTCTGCACTGCCCCCTTCTGGATGAAGTTGGACCTGGTATATGTGTGAAGCTTGCATCTGTAAGCATGTGAAATAGTGTGGCCCTCTCTTTTTTTGAGTGTTGATTGTATTCTTTCTCCAGGTGTAGTTTTGTGTGAGCATGATTCTGAGAGTGCATGCCTTCAGGTGCATTTCCAGGGAGACAGATGAGACGATGTGAGATGAGGTGGTGGCACTCTGGAGATTTAGCTGCCTGCGGCGCCTCTCTCGCAGCTGCTCTTTCCCTGTTCTAACCCTCTTTCTCCTCCTGTGCATTTTATGGTGGGGGGAAGCCCCCCAATTCCAGAGTTTCTGAAACAAAAAGGAATCCACAGGTCACACCACAGGCAGCTGGCTTCTATAAGAACAGCCAGACTGGGTCAGACCAATGGTCCATCTAGCCCAGTATCCTGTCCTCTAACAGTGGCCACCACCAGGTGCTTCAGAAGGAATGAACAGAACAGACAATCATGTGGCCTCAGTCTATTTCACAATCCGCTGCTCCCCTTTGTGTCAGAACTAGCTAGCGGTGGCAAAGGGCCAGCAACTGAGAGAAACAGGATCTTGCAAGGCACCAGGAAACTCAACCAGGAGAACAAACAGCTGCTCCTTTCTCGGACAGGGCTTGAAACCCCAGTCTCTTTTAGCTGTGTGTAGGCTGGGAAGATTTAGCTTTTTAAAAAACCCCAAATCAAGGCTCATGTAACTTTCACTGAACAGAAACACTGCTCCTGGGTTGCCACCATCAGCCCACTAGGTTTTTTGGTAATAGGGATTGTTGAAAGCTGAGCTGATCAGTTAGAGTATAACAAAAGAGAAAATGTTCTAAAGACCAGGATTTTTTTTTTAAAAGAGGGCTCGTCCGGGATTTGAACCCGGGACCTCTCGCACCCAAAGCGAGAATCATACCCCTAGACCAACGAGCCAACTGAATAATCACTTTCACTGGACACTTCTTGTCTCTTTCTACTGTTGTAGTTTTCTTGATTTTAAATTGTAAGAGTGATAAGGTGGTTGAAGTAGTCTCTTTTATTGGATCAACTTCTGATGATGAAGGACTTGAACAAGAGCTGGGTGGAGCTCAAGAGCTTGTCTATTCACCAACAGAAGTTGGTCCAATAAAGGGTATTATCTCACACACCTTGTCTCTCTCTTACTTGTGACTTTAGTTGCCTCTTTTCCTTGTTAAGGGTAAGAGAAAGCTCACCTTTCTCCTGCCATTTATTTATTTTTGCCTAATTGGCTCCATTCTACGTGGACAAGAGCTACCAGTACACTATTCTAGCCTGCCATTTTTTGAAGTCAAATGACAGTAAATTTGTTTCTTCCACAAGTCTACTAGTTACAATATTGTCTATCTATCTAATCCACTCCTCCTTCACCCCAACAAAACAAAACAAACAAAAAGAAAATTCTTTATGTGGAGTTAAATTTGAAATTGCAAGGACATCATTCTCCTTTTACTGATAGACAGATAGATAGATAGAAAAGTTTCAGAGTAGCAGCCATGTTAGTCTGTATTCGCAAAAAGAAAAGGAGTAGTTGTGGTACCTTAGCGACTAACCAATTTATTTGAGCATGAGCTTTCGTGAGCTACAGAAAGAAACTTGCAGTATACATATATAAAAACTACAGGACCTTCACTTCTCAGGCTTCAGGGCATAAACTCCCCAGAATGTGTCGCCTCCTCAATTGTCCATAGAGTTTTTCCTCTAATTTGTTTGGGGATTTAAAAGGTTGCAAACACAGAAGTCTCAGTCTTCCAGATTCCACAGAGAGAAGCCAGCAAAACGCCACGTGGACTCTCAATAACGAAGAGGTCTTCTTGTTCCCTGAGGCTGCCCCCTAGAACCGGGGGCCTAAGTCACCCTGCTGGGAACTTTCAGGGCACCTGGGACCCAATTCATACCTCAAGCAGACATTACTCAAACACTTGGCCGTTGGTGTCAACAATCAGAGGATTTCCAACAGAGCATAAAATATACTAGGATGCCTGACACTTAAAAAAACCCAAACAAACAAACAAAAAACACAACAGGTCGCATTAAACCTTTCAGTCACACTGAGCTGGGTCTAGTCCAATAAAGTGAACTGTAGAAAGAATCTCTCAGCTATGGATAGCATAACATGGTAACGATCAGGGCAACTTGCCAGCAAACTGTTACTTGAGCCCATTGCTTACATCTGTGCTTATCTGTAAGCACAGGAATGGAGGGTGACATAAGACGAGGGATCTACGTAATAACAACAATAATAGAAGACGTGGAGGGGGTAGAGAAGAAAGTGTGTGTATGGGGTGGGGGTGGGGGGAGGACAGTAGATAGTGTAGGGGGCATGTGAAACGCCGAGTGTGAACGGATTGGCTGCAGATAATGATGAAAAGGAGTGGAATTTCCCCCACTTTTTCGTTTAGTTACCACTTAGCAAAATCATTCGGGTGTTAAAATAGTTTGCCATTGCTATCTGAGATAGTTGCTACTGGACGGGGGAAAGAGAGAGACCCAGGATGAGAGTGGATATCATTCAGTTCTGGAGGAAAGCCGGTAATAATAATGATAATAATAATAAATTACTATTATTTTATTTTTCTGCTCTTTCTTTCCCTCTCCTCCTCCTTCTTCTTTTAAATGCAGCCAGGTAATAATTATGTCAAAAGACAGATCGCTGCCCTTCTAGTTTTATAGTAAACTCCCACATCTGAAGGAATGTCACTATGGGTTAGCAAGGAAATATTTTATTACTTCAGTTTTTCTTTGTGTGCCAATTTTTGGCCCAAACTACCTTACACACGAACAGGGCTATAGGCAGCGGGGGTTGACTTTGAATTAAGAGTAGTAAATGGCTGCTGTAATTAGAACTATACTCTTTTTTATTGTGCATTGTGAGATGCGTGCAGCACGCTGTCAGATTGCTTTTGGCTCTCAAATTGCAGTTTTTTCAGCGGTGCAGAGAGCATTATGCCAAGGAAAGGGGTATACCCAGGACCTCATTTTCAGCAAGGTAGCGTGGCCGAGCGGTCTAAGGCGCTGGATTAAGGCTCCAGTCTCTTCGGGGGCGTGGGTTCGAATCCCACCGCTGCCAGGTTTTTTCGGTGCTTTGCCTTTCCTTCAGGATCCATTTTTTAAAATAGCTATATGGAGACTTTCAATTTCGCGGTGCTAATTAGCAGATATGCTTTTGCACTTGCCTGATAGCCCCGTCCCAGAGAACACTGACCTTGGCTGAAGAGAGGGGCAGTTTTCAGGAAGCTCCTGTTTGTAGACGGTTTTCACGGTGCTAAAAATAACCGAAGTGGAATATCCCTCTGTGCATGACAGCTGTGGATTTATTCTGCAGCCCAGAGAGCACAGCAACTATTCAGGGCATTAGCAGGGTAGCTGGCTGGATCCCTGCAAAGCTGCTCTGTCTGTCACTTCTTTCTGACAAAAGGGACTTGCAAATTAGGAGAATGTAGATCTCAAACCAGCCAATGCTCCCTCCCTTTAACATTACAGGCAAAGCAATTCACTGCAAGAGAAATGTACGAGAGATGCCTGAGTTTTCCTTTTCCACCCCCAAAAATATCCAAATACAAATTGTCAGGATTTGTCCTGTATGCCATGTAGTTAGTGTGTCAGTCAGCAAGCTGAGGCAGCAAGTGTTTCCAGATAAAAACCTTCCCCCAAAGAAAACAGACTGTCAGGTACTAAATTTTAAAATCCATGATTGCAGGTGCTTAGATGAGCCAACTTTATATATCTCCAGCCTTCCTAAGAATTTACCATTTGCAGTGTTGCCCCAAGGATATTAGAAAGAGGAGAAGCAGCGGATGTGCCACAAGCGTTAAGACTTAATCTTCTCCAAAACGGGTTCTTATTTAACATACTTTGGAAACACTACGCTATGACACAGTGTTCACCATATCAAAATTGCGAAGCTGTTTCTGCCCGGTTTCGAACCGGGGACCTTTCGCGTGTTAGGCGAACGTGATAACCACTACACTACAGAAACCCCACTGGAAAATGTATGCTCCCTGATTATCCAGAGATTTCTAATCCATGGATCCTGTGTCTTTGCTGATGTCTTCATGTAAGTGTACTGGGTTTTGTTAATCAGTGGCTTTGTGTTTGTAGATGGTTGTGACTGTTACGTTGGTCTGTATGTGTGTTCGTGTCTAGTGAAACTGTGTACTCACAAATGTCCCCTAACTGCTGTGATATTTGTAAATGGGTGTGAGCGCATGATTGTGTGATTTGTTTGTGAATGTGCACATACAGACATGAAGCTTTGAGTAGGCTTAGGTATGACAATGCTTCTGTTTGTGTATGTGTGATCATTTTAAACGTGTGCATACATGTGTATGTTCATGTTCTTTATGTGCCTAGGTATGATTTTGCTTTTTGAAAAATGCCTCTGGGCTTGGTGGTTGTGTTTCTTAATCTGTGGTTTATACCTTCCTGTGTGTTTTGGACTGATTGTGATGTCTATGTCTCTGATAGCTGTGTGCTCACCTCCATGTGCGATTTTTGTGTAGGCCTGCCTATGTGATTTCAGTATTTGCATGTATGTTGATGAATAGGACAGTTTTATTATTACTATTATCCTCTACTAGGATAGTGTTTGCGGACTGACCAAGATGAGGATCTCATTGTGCTAGTCAGACTAATAGTTTGTGGGTCAAAGAATACCGCCCTGTGTGCACGCACAATAACGTGATTAGTTTGTGTGTGTTTAGTATTGAGTGGTTTATGTGTACTTGCGCTTAAATGTGTTTTACTATGAGTGTTGTTTCTTTGGGTGCTACATAATTCCATCGCCCTGAGCTTCAGCCTGCTAATTTGTAGGCGGAATTTATAGGGTGAAAACTCTGTGGTGCATTTATCCTGCAGTGTTGCAGTGAATGGCTTTGCCTGCACAGCCCGTATATGATTAGTGTGTGAATATGTTACCGTGATTTTTTTTTTTTACTTCTAAACACGCAGTGTGATTTGTGTGCCTGCACCTCTATGAGCTGTTTGCCCAAGAGAGTGATTTGCCCACTGTATGCAGCAGTGCTGGTGGCTGGGTGGCTGGGTGTGCTGATGCGTTCCTGTCTATATGTGCGGGTGGAATCGTATTGCTGTGTATGTAACAGCACAACTGTGAATTTTGTTTCTCCATCCGCATGTGTGCAGATGGGAATGACTTAACTCGCCTCTCCTCCTCCCCCCCCCCCGTCTCTGCTATGCTTGTCCGGATGTCTGTAACTATAGCAGAAATAATCAGTCTTGTTTCCACCCTCCCCCCAAAAACAACAATCTCCCGCAGCAAAGCACCCACTTAATTAGGCTCTGCAGGTCTCCATTCAAGCAACCCGAATTCCTCCCTCCTTCCCCTACCAAGCAGCCCGTTAAGGCACCCCTGCATCCCTTCCCCCAAAATAACCCTGCTACTTACTGACTGTGCCCCGCTTTAACACGCCCCCCCCCCCCATACCGCGCTCTTTGCCAGGAGCCCTGGAAACAATTCCCACCGCCCGCGAATTCCCCTCTCACACAGCTCCCCCAGGAAACCCCAGTTGGTCCCCATCCTGGCAGCTTGCCCCCCAGCCCTCAACATCCCCCCTCAGTCCCCTGGTTCTATGCCCTGCTGTTATGCCACTTCTAGCTTTCCAACCCCTACTTTGGGGAGCTATGAGCCCCTTGGGTGACTTGCAGGGAGCCCTGCACGGCGGGGTACATGCCACCCTGGGTCACCCTATAGGGAATGTTTTATCTACAGCCTCCTGACATCGTGTCTTGATTCCTCCTCTCCCCCACCAAATCTATTGATCTCTTCGTCCCCACTTCCCCACCAGCTTGGTTCGCCCTGGTTAACTCCTCCCCAGTTTGTTTTGTTTTTCTTCCCGCTATTCCGTTGTATAATCCCTGTGTGTGCTGCCTGGCTCAGCAAAAACTCATCAGCCCACGTGGCAAGTCCCCAAAGCCAGAGCGAAGCAACCACTGCAAAAGCACAAGGACGTCACTGCCCTGTTCCTGTGTATTTGTACAGCAGGTCATATTTTGTACTGTTCAGAGGCAAACAAACTGTGCACGTTTTTTAGCGTGCCAATACATATTTTTAAAATATAAAAGAGGGCTCGTCCGGGATTTGAACCCGGGACCTCTCGCACCCAAAGCGAGAATCATACCCCTAGACCAACGAGCCATGTTGGTTATGAGCACCTGAGGAAGTACTTGAGAGCTGTCTTTAGGTAACGTGGTGCATGAGCCCTTTGCTTTTTTGGAATCAGTTCCACTTTGCTTCCATTCTCTTGCTCCAGCTCACTTTCCTCTCCCTCTGCCAACGCTTCAGTGTCCAGTACTGCTCAGTGATTCAGCTTTCAACAAGAGAGGCTTGACTTTAATTCATTTTTTTCCCCCTTTAATCCCTTCCCCCCTCCAGTCAGTCATTCTTTCTTTCCAACAACATAAGTGAAAAACGTATCACCCAGCGGATCTGACAGTTTCTAAATTTCTGGTAACAGCTGTAGAGAGCGGCAGATTTTTATCCTACTGATTCCCTCCCCCCACCCCATGCTTTTTGTAATGTAAACTGAGGCAGCAAGTGTTTCCAGATAAAAACCTTCCCCCAAAGAAAAAGAGACTGTCAGGTGCTAAATTTTAAAATCCATGATTGCAGGTGCTTAGATGCGCCGACATTATATATCTCCAGCCTTCCTAAGAATTTACCATTTGCAGTGTTGCCCCAAGGATATTAGAGTGACAAGGTGGGTGAGGTAACATCTCTTGTTGGACCAACTTCTGTTGGTGAAAGTGAGCTGAAGAATAGCTCGGCTTCTAAGTTTGTCTTGTCACTTCGCTTGTGTCTCAAATAATTATCTGGTGGCCCAAGACACCGGTTGACATTTGAAAAAAAGTCAAGGAATGTGACTGATCTGGAAAGCGAGATAAAAACTTTTGTTGAAATAAGTAACATTTTTTTAAAAATGAAATGAAGGGGCATGGGGTGAAAAAGAACAACAGTAGGCCCCAGCGAGATTTGAACTCGCGACCCCTGGTTTACAAGACCAGTGCTCTAACCCCTGAGCTATGGAGCCTGCAGCTGTAAAAGCTTCTTCTGTCCTCCCCAGAATGGTGAAGATCTTTTGACCTGTGCTTTGCTCAGGATCTGGATTAATGTTCTGACCCCAATTAAAAGTATCTTTATTCACCAGGAGTCGATGTCAATGTAAGGATTTGCATGAAAAGTCTCCTTTGGCTCGTCCTCCAAGCTCTGCAGCCCGCTTTAAGAAACAAACAGGAAAAGGGACTCGCCACATACACACTGCTGGCCAGCAGGCTCTGTGCCTGAAAAACGTGTGTGGTAACGCTACCACCTGCTGTACTGACTGTGTATTGCACCCTGAAGGTTGGCTAAATTAAATACAGCTTGCCAGAAGTGGAAATCAATAGTTTGCAGCGTTGTTGTGTGTTCGCTGCACTTTATTTGCATACAACAAATGCAGCAGATCACACGTCATCCCATTAGTTGCTTGGCACTTTTCTTTTTTTTCCAATGCACGAACCAAACTTTGATTCAAAAA